CTGCGTTGCTCCCCAGTGATGCCTACGGCCCCGTCCGTTCCCGAGCGGGCACTGCTTTTTCCCACCTCCACAGCTCAACACTGCGCTTTGGCTTTTCAATACCTCCAGTGCCATCACGCAGCCGCTCACTATCACCTGATCCTCTCTGACTCACGGCCAGCAGCTTTAGCTGTGAATACGCTGAATAATCCCGCATTGCTGCAGACGCAGCGCGCCCACGCCTTGCACAGGACCCCCCGCCACGTCCCCCCGGACCCCCCTCCTGCAGCCAGCCCCGCACTCACGGCCGTACTCCGGGGGAAAGAAGTGCAGGTTGCGCAGCTCTTCCCGCTCGATCCGGATGGGGCTCCGCAGGTCGTCCGGGAGGGCTGCGACAAGGAACGAGAAATGTTCACATTGCAGCCTTGCTGGAGCTGCTGCCCCAGGGCTGTGGGCGCAGACGGGTGCTCCGAGGTGGCTGGGATTTCTAGGCACATGAACCCCCAAATCACATAGGATGGTTTGGGTGGGAAGGGACCTCAAACCCCCCCAGTCCAACCCCCATGGGCAGGGACACCTCCACCAGCCCAGGCTGCTCCAAGCCCCGGCCAACCTGGCCTTGGGCACTGCCAGGGAGGGGGCACCCACAGCTTCTCTGGGCAACCTGGGACAGGGCCTCCCCACCTCACAGCCAGGAATTTCTCCCTAATATCTCATTTAAATCTCCCAAATTCCAGTTTAAAGCCATCCCACCCTGGTCCCATCACTCCATTCCTTGTCAAAAGTCCCTTCCCAGCTTTCCTGTCCCCTTCAGGTCCTGGAAGGTGCTCTAAGGTCTCCCCACAGCCTTCTCCAGGCTGAACAACCCCAACTCTCTCCAGCTGTCCCCATAGCAGAGCTGCTCCAGCCCCTCAGCATCTCCGTGGCCTCCTCTGGACTCCAGCAGCTCCATGGCCTCTGCTGGTGGAGGGCCCAGAGGGGCTCAGGGAGTTCTCACCAACGCAGAGGGGCAGATTTCCTCCCCTGGCCACGCTGTGGGGATGCAGCCCAGCACAGGGTTGGTTTCTGGGCTGTGAGCACCCATTGCTGGGTCATGTTGAGCTTCTCCATCACATCAACCCCCAGCCTGTGTTGATACCAGGGGCTGCCCTGACCCAACCCCTCATGGGGCTCACACAGGCCCCCTTCTCCAGCCCGTCCAGGTCCCTTTGGATCACCCCTCTGCTCCCATGAGAGGAGCACCAATTCCCTGAGGGACAAAGGTCTGCCCTGCCCGCAGAGCCCAGAGCTGCTCCTCCGTGTCACAGCACCCAGGGATGGGACTGATGGGCTGGGAGAGGGACACTCACCATTGGCAAACACCCTGTGCCACACTGCCGGTCAGCGCCGATCCGGAGAAGGACGAGAAGGCACGGAGCAGAGGAGGCAAACAGAAGAGAAGGTAACTCCAAGCTTTGCATGGGGGATGCAGGAGTGATCCCCAGAGGGACCTCCCCGCAGCTTCCTACCTGAACCGATCTTTATGAGCCCGTTGTGCTGGATGAAGATGGTGTCGCTGGTGAGGTTGCCGTGGATGATGGGGGGCTCGCAGGAGTGCAGGAAGCTGGGGAAGGACAAAGCTGAGCTCAGCGCTTTACCTGTGCCCAGCGCGGGGAGAAGCAGGCGGCGGATGCTGCGAGGACGGCGACCCTACCTGAGAGCAGACAGGATCTGCGTGCACCAGCGCTTCCAGGCCTAGAGCAGAGACCAGAGCTCTTGGTCAGACGAGATGTTCCCCACCAGAGCCCAGCAACCGGACCAGGCCATTCCTACCCACGACCCAGCAATGGGGGACATCAGCCCCCCACTGCCCCTGCAGGGACTCAGCGATGAGCCATGTGCTGTCCCAGTGCAACCCTGCTCGAAGACACCACCAAAGCTGAGAGCTCATCCTCACTGGCAAACAGAGCTCTCCCGAGCCCCAAAACCCCAGTGGGGACATGGACACATCACCAATGGAGCTGGGGAGGGCTCTGGAGCAGCCGAATGATGGGGAGTGGCTGAGGGAGCTGGGGGGTTCAACTGGAGGAGGGGAGGGAAGACCTTTTCCCCT